GTATATAAAACAGTACCGATTAGCCGAATTTGTAGATTTAAGTGGTAAAAGTAGTTAACCGGAATTAATTGAAATTGTTGGAGTGAGTCGTATATACATATGGGTATTTTTAGTTAGTTTGTTTTGTTAGAATTATGTAGAATAAAATTGATTTGCAGCTGAAGTCGAATTAAGTTGAATGGTTCCGGTTTATGGAATTGTATTGTATACCTAGCTGAAAAATATGAAATTGCAGGTGATGATGAATTTGGTTGAATTGCCTCTATTTATGGGTAATATTATGTTGTAGGCCTATGGCCAATGTTGAGATGTTGTGTTATTGTGATTGTCTCTGTGAATTTTTGTTGATAATGTGAAGTTACAGAGATTTTAGATGATGATGAATTACCTCTATTTACTGATAATAATGGTGATGCGGGTTTATGCCTTGCGATGAATGATGATTGTTGTTAGTATGTGGTGGTGCATTCATTGAGTCACATACATTTGCATACTCTGTGATGGCCTGTATTGGCAGATTTTGTGAAGGCATGTATTGGCAAACTGCGAAGAAGGCTTATGCCTTGTTAATGCCTCTATTAATCGGTGATTGTTAAGTTGAGAATTCTGCTCTGATGGTACCACATGCATGTGCATTGTGATTGAGTCGCATTTGATGTTGCATCTTGAGTTGTGGTGAAGATAGATTCGTTGTTGACTTGTTGTGACAAGTATTATCTAAAAGCTATGAATTTAGTAGTTATGTTGTGTTGATGTTTTATTGTGATTAAAGTTGTTTGTAAGTTGGGAAGTGGTGACTTTATATGATCTGATTTAATATATTATTTATCATATGATTACTTATATAGTTTGATATATCACCCTTTCTTTTTGAATGTTGCCCTCTGTTAGTAACGTGAAGGTAATCAAGAAGGATAGTTATTACCTCGTTAGTTCGAGTCGGTGTTGTCGCTCTGATACGTAGCACTCGGGGGGATGAACGCTTGTTGTTTAGTTGTTGATTATTATTTCAGTTGATGAATTTTTAAGTTGATTATATGAAATAATTGTTGTCTTGAGGTTGTTTTAGTTGAATAAAAGATGTTAAGTGAATTTAAGTTGAGTATGTATATTTTGTTACTTATCAATAAAAAGTTATTTGATTTTGAAGAATAAATCAGATTGTTATCGGTTCATCCGAGTTAAGTGTTATGTGTCTGTTTGTGTGCGATTAAATGAAGATTGATTTTTAGTTGAAAATATAGCATCCTATTTATGTTGAACTCTGATTTTCTTATTATCCTCCGGATAGAAATGGGGTGTTACATCAAACATGCCCGACAACTCTTGGGGGAAGTTATTTTGTGTCAGCCAAGAAAGAGACCCACCGCTATGCACCGACCAAAGGCCCAATAACACGAGACCCATTATCCAACCTGCCTCGTCAGGCCCAAGGTATAAATACTTTCGTAAAGAGTTTTCAGATACACAATCTCTAATCTCTAATTTCACTTCCACTATCTTGAACTTTAAACTGACTTAGGCGTTCGACTTGTAACCATGTAGGTATTTCGATAGGTCCATCGTATCAGAGATAACAAACACTGCTTAACGACATCATATTTGATACCTATAGTTCAAGAAGCATCTTGATCGCGACTTTCGATCCATGGTGTCACATCGCCGTAGTGTTTCGGAAGGTTCGTTTTGTCGTAATTTTCACAATCTTATATATTTTTGGTTCCACAACGGAACAATCCCAAAGCCAATTGAAAAATTAAAAAAGAAAAAGAAAATGTAGTATCTTGGATTTGAAGCAAAGTCCTTGATAGATATTCTATCCAGTCCTTTTCATAAGAGACACTTCACCTTTTTAGATTTATTGAATAAATAATGTATCTCGTTTGTAATACAAATCTATTACATTGATTATTCAATGAATCTGTTAGAATAATAATGCAATCTTGGATTTGAAGCAAAGTCCTTGATAGATATTCCATCCGGTCCTTTTCATAAGAGACACTTCACCTTTTTAGATTTATTGAATAAATAATGTATCTCGTCTGTAATACAAACCTATTACATTGATTATTCAATGAATCTGTTAGAATAATAATGCAAGTGTGAGTAAGTGAAAAAATAGTCTCACATTGGATATGAATGTGGTGACTTGAGAATATATATATATATATATATATATATATATATATATATATATATATATATATATATATATATATATATATATATATATATATATATATATATATATATATATATATATATATATATATATATATATATATATATATATATATATATATATATATATATATATATATATATATATATAAGTGGGAGAACTCACTCACCTATAACCTTAAGGTTTTAGGTGGACAAGTGTGTGTCTCTTACAAAGGTGTATAGTCACACGCTATATATCAATGCTCCTTAGTGAACTCCTCCTACAAATGGTATCGTGAGTCTTTAGTTCGAGAAAGGGACTGATTTGTATCGAAGTGTCCAGGAAGTGGTGTCTTGTTGCAAGGTGTCAACGACGGTACGAGGGGGAGCATTGTGGACTCACACTTGAGGGGAAAGTGTCAGAATAAGAATGCACGTGTGAATAAGTGGAAAAATAGTCTCACAATAGATAGAAATGTAATGACTTGAGAATATATAAATGGAAAAATTCACCCACCTATCATTTTAAAGTTTTAAATAGACAAATAATATATCTTTTACAAAAAAATCTAGTCATCAATTTTATATTAATGCTCCTAATATAAACTTCTCGAACAAAATCTAAGAATATGAAGTATATCTATATATTTCATAAGTTTTAGAAATAAACTAGAATATATAGATAGTTTATATTTAAAAAATAATAATGACGTCCTCACTGACATATATCTCAATTATTTAATAAAGTATAAACTTTTTTATTTTATAAATTATATGGTGAGAGATGCATAATGAGGTTGAATGACACTTGTCTAAGTCGAGAATGGCACACTATAACTAGTAGAGCCACGCACGTTTGTCGCGTTGCGTCGCATCCTAAAATCAATTTCATTACTATTGCCCATTTAATCTTCTCTTCATAACTTAACGTCTTAACCACACAATCTATGTTAGATTCAGCTCGACTCTTACAAAACAACACACCCGTGGTGAGATTAACTACGCACGTGACAAGTTAAGACAAACACGCACGCATGCATTTATCTCTTTTCAAACTTCACACTCTACAAACCCCAACTCACATTCTATTTGCACCCAAAAGTCACAATTTGCACCTCAATTACCTTTGCATGCTTACAAAACATAGCAAAAACAAATTTATTTTTAGAGCTAGGGTCACTCACTCATTCATCATTTTTTATTTATTTATTTATTTTGTACTAGAAAATATTCTAGCCCGTGAATGATATAATTTTGTTGTCTTCCACCTAATATATGCTGTCTTTACCATTCCTTGCCCACACCACACCAAGCTAAACAACAACAAAGACTCACGAGATCGACATCATTTTTGGACTTGCTATTTTTAATTCATACCTCCTCACTTGTCACTCTAATAAGTTAACTTCATATATATCAAAACTGTACTATAGACTGTATTTGACATAATAATATGAATGTATTATAGGATATAGTTCAACTATTTGTATCTATGTTTCTTTTATATTTTGTAGACTATACTTCCTGAAGGATAAGGAGTAATATTGAACCATCATGATGCTCTTATAGCTAGCTTCCTCACTGAATCTTATACTCTACGTAGAAAACAAATATTTGGTCCTTACTCCTTAGTTTCAACCCAACACATGCAGTGTTATGAATGTATAATTGATTTTGTTTTTCTGAACCTGCATGTGTCCGTGTTGGACAGAGAAATCAACATGTTACTTGACTAATGAACTAAATTGGTACTATTCTCACCATTTTTTTAAATGGTTTTCTTTTGCTTATTTTTCACAAAACCATATTCACATGTCTTTGTTTATTTAGTTGTCCAACTTAATTAGAGTAGTATGAAGTATAAGTCCATAAATATCACTCCATATAAACTATTTTTAGGTTTTATGTTTAACAAATTAGATTTGAAATTTTTTTCAATACATTCCTTCACGTCCAACACTATTGGATTTGATACGTCAATATAAATGATAGATGACATATGATTCAATTGACAGATGATTCAATATAAATGATAGATGACTTATAGTTAAATCGATAGATGATTTAATAGACTGATATCATATTAGAATTAAAATTTGATGTAATTCATCTTTGAAAAAAACAGGTGACAAATGTCTCTATATAAACTCTGTTCAGATTCTAATCAGTATGGAATTTGAATTTTTTTATCATAAAGCAATGCAATAAATATTACTTTAAGGAAACAAAGTTTGGTAAAAAGAGAAAAAACAAGTATATAGTTTGTGTTAAGCTCAATTTTTAGATACATTATTAGGCCTCATGAAGTGAATTGGAATTTTCTGTAAACATAATATTCACGGATATAGGAAGAATATATGGGAGAGACAATAATAGAAAATGCATATTGTGTTGAAGTATTAGAGAAAACCAACCAAGAATGCATCACAAGAGGGACCATAACAGAAGTGAACATTCTAATAAATACAAAAAAAAATAATAATGGACTTGAAACCAAAATTTGCTAGACCTCAAAAACCAAAAGTGCTTTTAAAAGCCTCCAATCGTATCCTTGACACCTCACATCCTTATACATTTAATCAACACAAAGCTGACACGTGGCAACATTATTATGCTTTCAGAATCCATTTCTCAACATTCATATAAGTTTTTTTAGTATAAATATGAGATGATCCTTCCTAGACCAATGTGCTATACCTTAGCCACTTTCTTCAATTTCAATCTCCTCCAATTATCTTTATGTAACAGAAACTTTTGTCTATACATATTGAAACAACAATTTAGTAACATTTTGTTGTACTACATTGTCACAAACATACATACATACATACATAAACATGAATTTTATTCATGGATTGTATATTCTATGGATTACCTTAATACTTATCAACCATAATTTGAAAAATGTGGAAGGAAGGAGCCACTTTCACAAGGAAAAGAAAGTATCTTCCCCTATTCCTTCTGAGTCTTCCAATTCTTCTCCTAGTGTTCCTTCTGATCCTTATCCGAACGATCCTCGCGACTCGTCTTCGGACTGTGTTTTCGATGTGAGATACTTTGGAGCAGTTGGAGATGGTTTAGCTGATGACACAGCTGCATTCAAGAAAGCATGGAAAGGAGCTTGTGCTGTAGAGTCAGGGATTATGCTTGCTCCAGAAAACTACACATTTAAAATCACTTCAATTATTTTTTCAGGTCCATGCAAACCAGGATTAGTATTTCAAGTAAGGTTACTTTTTCAATTTCCAATTTTGTCACATCATTTATTATATGATGATAGTCTTAACAAAGTTGAAATGTGATCAGGTGGATGGTATGGTAATAGCACCAGATGGACCAGAATCATGGCCAGAAGCAGATAGCAGAAATCAATGGCTAGTGTTCTATAAACTTGACCAAATGAGTCTTAATGGTACAGGAACCATAGAAGGCAATGGAGATCAATGGTGGGATCTTCCCTGCAAACCTCACAGGGTAAACTTTTTAACACATGCATATACAATAGTATCTCACACATAACAAAGTGAAGTTATAGTTTAATTTGATTAGATACTTGGCCTTTTCAGGGTCCCGATGGAAAAACTTTATCAGGACCATGTGGTAGTCCAGCCGTGAGTAAAACTATTCATCTCAATCATTAACTAAATTACTATGTAAATTATATATTATATATTACTAATTAGCTCAGTAGCACCGATACCTCTAAGAATGGTGTTGACATGTCAGTGTTCGTTTGTGTTTGTGCTTCATAGGTAGTGACTTATAGTTTTTTATTTATATAAAATTTGTAGATGATACGGTTCTTCATGAGCTCTAACTTGATGGTGAGTGGACTACAAATTCAAAACAGTCCTCAGTTCCACATGAAATTTGATGGCTGTCAAGGTGTAATGATTGATAGGTTATCCATTTCTGCACCTAAACTTAGCCCAAACACTGATGGAATCCATGTTGAAAACTCACAAGATGTTGGGATATACAACTCCTTAATAAGCAATGGTAATTAAACTAGCTTAATTAATATAAGCAACTTGCTGAAAACAACTTTGTTTCTATGTTAATTTCACTGTTTTTGTTATAAGCAACTAGCTTAATATAATAACATAATTTGAACAGGTGATGATTGTATTTCAATTGGACCCGGGACTTCAAATGTGGAAATAGCTGGTGTAACTTGTGGTCCTAGCCACGGGATTAGGTACATTTCATAGTCTTTTCTTATCTCAGTGTTTAACAAAAAGTCGATATTGTTAGGTTAGACGCCATCATCAGAGTTCAAACTCTGATACTCACGGTTGTTAATTTTTTTTCACAGCATAGGAAGCCTTGGTGTACACAATTCACAAGCATGTGTGTCAAACTTAACTGTCCGCGACACAGTGATAAGAGAATCAGACAATGGACTAAGAATTAAGACATGGCAAGGTGGAATGGGATCTGTATCAAATTTAAAATTCGAGAACATACAAATGGAAAACGTAGGAAACTGCATTCTTATAGACCAATACTATTGTTTGACAAAGGAGTGTCTAAACCAAACTTCAGCTGTTCATGTGAATGATGTGTCCTATAAAAACATTAAGGGTACTTATGATGTTAGAACTGCTCCTATTCATTTTGCTTGCAGTGACAGTGTTGCTTGCACAAACATAACACTTTCTGAGGTTGAGCTTTTGCCATTTGAAGGTGAGTTGTTGGATGATCCTTTTTGTTGGAATGCTTATGGTGTTCAAGAGACATTGACTATACCTCCAATTGGTTGTTTAAGGGAAGGTGAACCTGAGGCTGTGGGTGATCTTTCTACGTATCAATGTAATAATTAGTTAATGATATTGATCTATATTTGGTGTCTTAGGTAGAAGATATGTTAGAGTAGTACATAGATATAGAGTCATATAATGTCCATTATGTTTTGATTGTTTTGGTTTTGATTTTGATGTATGCCTCTTAGGATTCGTCCCTATTTGGGTGTATTTTCCCATAGTGAGTGATGAGTATGTGATTTGGTTCAATTTTTTTGGACCTAGATTGTGAAAGCCTGGTTTAACATTTATATATTATGTGGATAGGCATTCCAATATTTAAACTTCTTCAACTTTTATGAATATATTCATTTTCTTTCAAGATAATTTCAATCCATAAAGTTGTAAGTTGTTTTTTTTTTCAAAATTATTTTATTTTATATTTTTTTCTTCCACTTTATCCACAAGTTCATTTTCTACTAGAATGCTATCCAACATTTTACTTCCATCTAAAATTGCATATTGAGGAGTTGATTTATCTTAAAATAAGGGTGACAAACGAGCATGGTCGTTTTGTTTAGGTCCGTCCAACAATAGTTTAAAAAAAATGGCAGAGTAAGGCAAACATAGTTAAAGATGTGAGCCTAAAACTTTGACACTTCCCACAAAAAAAAATGGCGGGGCGGAGAATGCCTGCGGACTTTACACGTTTTAGGCTTGAAAATATAAAATTTTAGACAATTTCTCATTGCACCTTTATACATTCTCCCAAGTCCTGTGTGAAATTTCTAAAATATCTATTGTTTTCGGAGATGTATCTCTAGACGCACTAAATCTCAATTTTAACCACATGTTAATTCGGAGATGTATCTTCGAAAGGCAAATTGTAGGATGTGTTCAGAGATATATCTCAAGATAATCCTTTTTTAAAGTCAAAAAACGATTTCGGAGATGCGTCTATAAACTAGGTGAACATATTTAAAGTCTGTGACAGACTCTCCCTCTCTTGATCGGCCCAAGGGCCAAGCAATCTAGACTAAAGCTTTAGGCTCAAAAGTTTGGGCTTAAAAAATATCTCATATTTTTTTATTTAGTTATAAAAATATATAATGACACATTACTCATATATATTATCATAGTTGGGTTGGTAAAATGAAGATCTCTTTTCCATTTGTTCTTGAGTTCAACTCTTAGTAACCATAAAATTATTATTTTAAAATACACTTTAAAGACCTCATTTTAAAAATTTGTTTTAGGCCTCTAAACGAGTTGGGCCGACCCTGCTCCCTCTTCTCCTTCTTATTTTTTCAAAAACTCAAAATTTTCTCTCTACCCCACTCTATCCATTTCCAATTCACACTCAAGGACATGTTTTGAAGTAACATTTACTTGTATCGTGTTATTTCTAACTCCCTCTAACTATTGCATTCAACATCATATCACTTTACACTCTCATCAACACATTTTTGAGTAAGCTTCTTATTTGGTTTTTTATTTTATTTTTTATTAATGTACTACCTCAAATAGGTTAGTTTTAATGCATTGGATAACATTATCATTTGAAATAGATTATGTGTAGACTCTGTTTATCTGATTTGGATGATACTTGGATGACTAGAGCAGTTGTAGAAAAGTTACTTCCATTGAAGCTGAACGAAGATTTTTTCAGAGATGTATCTCCGAAGTGTTCTATTTCAGGTTTTCGGAGATACATCTCCGAACTATTTCCTTCCTCATATATTAATCTCGTTTGTTATGTTTTTTTTCAAGAGTTATGGCTGAAAACAACGAAAAGTTGAGACTCGGGCGACCCACCCTAACCTTGTTTACTTATCGCGAGAGGGCTCGTCAGCATGAGCAAGTTAGATTCATCCCCTATTTGCCTCATGCTAGGGAGGCACCGACCTCTAGGAGTCTACTATAACGAGGATTGAGATACTAGAGACGTGTGCACCATGATGAGGATACCTCAGTTGAACCGCGAGTCCTAGTTAATGAGGATGCCCCACTTGCAGACCCTTTTCCAGGAGGGACCATAAACACTTATTTACTGATATACTTTGAAGAGCATGCGACTCTACATATATGGGATGAAGAGGTATATTTTTTAATAGTGTTATTTTTTATTTTGCAACGAAATTTAACTCAACTAAGACTATTATATTTAATTTTTAACAGGAATGTAAATGTCTGAAATATGTGAACCATGCAAGAAAGATTCACAAACTTTATCAGCCTTTGAATGAGTGGTTCCAAAATGCACTCTAAAACTTCTAGCTTGTAGGTTTTTGTGCTTCTGGGTACAACACCATCAGTCATGGCATGCAGGTTGCATTTAATGAGAGATGGCATAACAAAAAGTCATCTTTCTACATCCCTATTGGAGATATGACTATTACATTAGATAAAGTAGTTTTCCTTTTACATCTTTCCACTAGAGGAATGTTGCTTGATCATTCTAAAAATACCAAGGCTAAGTCGGTGTAGATGATGGTGGTTTATTTATGAGTTGACCCTGCAGAAGCCTTTTAGCAGTGTAGAAGCACCAGGGGTGCACATGCCAAGTTTGCTTGGTTGGCGAAGTTGTATGACAACAACTTGGAGATAGCCAAACACCAGGACGTCGATGATCTTTGGATTTCTTACCACATGGAGTGTGCCTTGAGGTGCTTCTTCATGTTCTAGGTTGGTACGTCCATGTTTGTGGACAAAAGTGAAAACTATGTGGATGTGGCTTACCTCAAATATTTCATCGACTTGGAATCCATTCACGAGTGGAATTGGAGGGCCACACGCTTGGTTTATCTGTACTCCAATCTGAGCGAAGGTTGTAAATGGACGACAAAGAAAATGACAGGCTCATTCTCTACTTACGGTAATTTTCAAATCCCATTATTATGTGACAAATTACTTTTTTTCACACTTGTTACTAATATTTTTTCTTATTCATTTTCGGGTTTGAATCCTTGTCCACTATCACTGCATTCACGGATTTAAACGTGACCCATTCTATACTGATGATTATCCATTTGCTTGTCGGTTTATCCCTAACATAGGGAATGATGTTATCTTGTTATTTCATGTGTATATTGATCAGACTGAACATGATGGCATCGTTTGGATGCCATACACTACTCACTAGGAAATAATTCCATTCGACCATATTTCCTTATACTTTGGATGGTTGGCATGTAAGACTAATATCATGTGCAGGTATATGCCTAAGCGGTGCATGTGGCAGTTTGGATACGTGCAGATCATTCTGAGGCCCCTCTCCAGGCTACTCCTATCAGTATTCCACAAAGAGCTGATGATATTCTTGCGAATTTTGAGAGTCGTCTGGTACTGATGGAGTATCAAAATGATGAAGCCACATCTCAGTGGAGTTATGTTAAGGGTTACATGACTAGGTTCTATAATGTGTCACACCCTTACATGACACAAGACGCTCCTGAATGTCCACCTAAACATGCCCATGAGGAGATCCTGGAGAATGAGCAGGGCATGGATGATCATACTATTGATGTCTTGTCGATCTGTCAGAACATTATGCGGATGGCAGGAGAGAACATCGATTTTGGACTGTTTGAGAGAGGTGGCGATGAAACGATTTCCTTAGGATGTTCCATTCTTACCGAGGCATGAAATGCCTTGGGTTACCGTAGGCAGAGGAAGAGTCGGGGTGTTAGGATTATGCATACTCAGTAGCCTATGCTTTTGATTGTATTTTGTTTATTTTTCATCAACTTGGAGAATAATTATTATACTATTAATCTTTCTGATATTCATTTCTATAATGTTCGGTTTTATTAACGCATTACATGGTTCTATAATATTCATTTTTATTAATTGTTGAAACAAATAACGACAATGTTAATTGAATAAAAATTAGTTTAGATTGAAAACACCATAATCTTAGTAAATTGGTTCTAAAAAAATACACAGGAAATAATTCAGAGATGTATTTCTGAATTTACTCTACACATAGTTTGAATATACATCTCCGAACTTATTTCTTAAGAAATGGGGTGGCTGTTTGATTTATCAAGGACAAAAGGTGACTTCAGAGATGTATCTGCAAATTTACCCTTGGGTGAATTCAGATATGCATCTCTGGACTAAATTTAAGCAAAAAATGGTATTTGGTGCATTTGGAGATGTATCTCTGAATTCACCTAAAGGGAGTTTTAAGATTTGCAGAGATGTGCCCCATTTTACAAGGGTGCAATAAGAAATTGTCAAATTTTATGTAAGTGCTTGTGTCCGCAAAACCCCCCCAAAAATTGGGGCGAAATAAGACATGCATATTAGAGGTTGCGAGTCTAAAATCTTGGTCCGCCCGCGGAAAAGTGCGAGAAAAACAGGCAATGCCCAACGGACCGGACCCGTTTTTCCACCATACCTTTATATCACCTCTTACATTTTATTTTTTAAAAATTTTGGACAACACCTTTTAAATGCATCTAATTAGAGAAATATGATATAAATCGATCAATCTAAAAATGTTGTCACATTTGGGAATTAACACTAAACGATGTTGGCCCCACAAACTAGTTTTTCATTGGCATGAAGCTCCTCAAGAAATCTCTAAAATTCTTTTATGAAGTTGAAATTAACATTATTTGGACCCAAAATATTCAAACTTTCCCAGTCCTACAATGTTTTTTCAATTTCAACCTTTGAAAAATTCCCAATCAGACTTATGTTATCTTCTTCTTTGATTTGGTTGTAGTGAAGGAATTACATTTGAGGCTTGTTGGTGTTCACCGATTTGAATATGTCTTTAAAGTGCTTTAAAATTTCATATTTTATCTATTCAATCTCGATAAATTAAGCTTCTAAGACTATGTTTGGATACGTAAAAAAGAACGAAGTGAAATGGAGAGGAGCAAAATGCAACAGAGTAGAACAGAAAGGAATGAAATAAAGATTTAATTTCGTTGTTTGAGTACATCATGATGGAATAAAGTAATTTTGTCATTCTACCAACATCAGAGAGTACAAAAAATGATAGAAAGTGATGAAATGGAACGGAATGTATTCCATCCGATACCGCTCAATTCTATCTTTTTTTAATTAAT